CACGTTTATGGAATGTCCTCGAAATATATATTTTAAGAAGTCCGCGTTTATGGAGGGACCTCTAAAATATTTTATGGAAGGCCCTCGAAAAATATTATTTACAAAATCCACATATAAAATATTCAAAATATTTTTTTTTAATTTATATAATTCTAAAACACTCATACATAAATATGCATTTACATTTGCCCCTGATAGTGGGACTAATTCTTTGGTTTATCTTCAGCCGATTTCCCAATGTGAGCCCAACAGGTTATTAAGCCAATATGTCTCTTTTGATATTCTATATAATGTGTGGTTTTATAATCCCCTTGTGGTATATAGGCTGGCAAATGCATATCGTACACATGATATCCCGTCAAGGTGTAGTTAAAATTCTGAAAATCGAAATCGGAATCCAAAAGTTTTTTTAATTAATAATTATCAGCCCTTAGCCTTACCTTTCGAAATGGACATTTGGGTACGACATTCAAATATTTCTTAAAATTATTCACATAGGTCACGATCAGTTTGGTTTTCTGGGCCACATCCAATATATCACAGGCATTTACAGTTAATTCCAGTAGTTTTCTTGGGGCCAAATTTTTACGATACGAATGTATTGTTGATCGAATACTGAAATCGGCTATAACAGATGCCAATTCTAAGCGACCATAGATGAGGCCCACGTGATTGCTATCATTCTTTACCGAACAATCTAAGTGTCGGATGCGCGTTGTGTTATATTGACAGGTACACTGGGTGAATTGAATGTGCGAATTGGGCTGTAAATGTTCAAATTTTTAATTTTATTAGAAAAAAATTGAAACTTTAAAAAATACTCAAACCTTTGCACCAATTACAACAACTAAGGGGATATTTAGCAGAATAATTATATTTAAACACTTTTGTATTTCGCGAAGCATATTGCAGATATATTTTTATTCAGACACCAACTGCTATGTAGAATGAATGGGAGTTATGGTTTTTTATTATTTAAAATGAAAAACGAGATGACAGACATAAAACAAGGTATAATTATATAGTCATTAATTTCAAATTATTGATTAAAATGAGATTACATGTCGGCAAAAATTTGGAAATGGAAAAATAACACAACAACAGTTGGAAAAAATATGATAATTGACCTCGTCAATAATATAAATAATAATATTTTTGTTTAAAGGTCGATGAACAGTGGTGAAAAAAAATTCCGGCCACGCCTATTTATAGTCGCTCGAAAAAATATTCTTCAAAAAATCCACGCCTATTTATAGTCGCTCGAAAAAATATTTAAAAAATCATCGCCTATTTATAGTCGCTCGAAAAAATATTTAAAAAATCCACGCCTATTTATAGTCGCTCGGAAAAATATTTAAAAAATCATCGCCTATTTATAGTCGCTCGAAAAAATATTTAAAAAATCCACGCCTATTTATAGTCGCTCGGAAAAATATTTAAAAAATCATCGCCTATTTATAGTCGCTCGAAAAAATATTTAAAAAATCCACGCCTATTTATAGTCGCTCGAAAAAATATTTAAAAAATCCACGCCTATTTATAGTCGCTCGAAAAAATATTTAAAAAATCCACGCCTATTTATAGTCGCTCGAAAAAATATTTAAAAAATCCACGCCTATTTATAGTCGCTCGAAAAAATATTTAAAAAATCCACGCCTATTTATAGTCGCTCGAAAAAATATTCCTTAAAAAATCCACGCCTATTTATAGTCGCTCGAAAAAATATTCTTTAAAAAATCCACGCCTATGGATAGTCGCTCGAAAAAATATTCTTTAAAAAATCCACGCCTATGGATAGTCGCTCGAAAAAATATTATGGATTTAAAAAATCCACGCCTATGGATAGTCGCTCGAAAAAATATTCTTTAAAAAATCCACGCCTATGGATAGTCGCTCGAAAAAATATTCTTTAAAAAATCCACGCCTATGGATAGTCGCTCGAAAAAATATTCTTTAAAAAATCCACGCCTATGGATAGTCGCTCGAAAAAATATTCTTTAAAAAATCCACGCCTATGGATAGTCGCTCGAAAAAATATTCTTTAAAAAATCCACGCCTATGGATAGTCGCTCGAAAAAATATTCTTTAAAAAATCCACGCCTATGGATAGTCGCTCGAAAAAATATTCTTTAAAAAATCCACGCCTATGGATAGTCGCTCGAAAAAATATTCTTTAAAAAATCCACGCCTATGGATAGTCGCTCGAAAAAATATTCTTTAAAAAATCCACGCCTATGGATAGTCGCTCGAAAAAATATTCTTTAAAAAATCCACGCCTATGGATAGTCGCTCGAAAAAATATTCTTTAAAAAATCCACGCCTATGGATAGTCGCTCGAAAAAATATTCTTTAAAAAATCCACGCCTATGGATAGTCGCTCGAAATATGTTTAAAAAATCCACGCCTATGGATAGTCGCTCGAAAAAATATTCTTTAAAAAATCCACGCCTATGGATAGTCGCTCGAAAAAATATTCTTTAAAAAATCCACGCCTATGGATAGTCGCTCGAAAAAATATTCTTTAAAAAATCCACGCCTATGGATAGTCGCTCGAAAAAATATTCTTTAAAAAATCCACGCCTATGGATAGTCGCTCGAAAAAATATTCTTTAAAAAATCCACGCCTATGGATAGTCGCTCGAAAAAATATTCTTTAAAAAATCCACGCCTATGGATAGTCGCTCGAAAAAATATTCTTTAAAAAATCCACGCCTATGGATAGTCGCTCGAAAAAATATTCTTTAAAAAATCCACGCCTATGGATAGTCGCTCGAAAAAATATTCTTTAAAAAATCCACGCCTATGGATAGTCGCTCGAAAAAATATTCTTTAAAAAATCCACGCCTATGGATAGTCGCTCGAAAAAATATTCTTTAAAAAATCCACGCCTATGGATAGTCGCTCGAAAAAATATTCTTTAAAAAATCCACGCCTATGGATAGTCGCTCGAAAAAATATTCTTTAAAAAATCCACGCCTATGGATAGTCGCTCGAAAAAATATTCTTTAAAAAATCCACGCCTATGGATAGTCGCTCGAAAAAATATTCTTTAAAAAATCCACGCCTATGGATAGTCGCTCGAAAAAATATTCTTTAAAAAATCCACGCCTATGGATAGTCGCTCGAAAAAATATTCTTTAAAAAATCCACGCCTATGGATAGTCGCTCGAAAAAATATTCTTTAAAAAATCCACGCCTATGGATAGTCGCTCGAAAAAATATTCTTTAAAAAATCCACGCCTATGGATAGTCGCTCGAAAAAATATTCTTTAAAAAATCCACGCCTATGGATAGTCGCTCGAAAAAATATTCTTTAAAAAATCCACGCCTATGGATAGTCCCTCGAAAAAATATTCTTTAATAAATCCACTCCTATGGAGAGACATGAACAAAAATCATAACAATAACATAAAAAACGCCTACATGGGAGGTATATGGGTTTTCTATATCTTGCATTACAATGTGTTTGGTATATGCAGTTGACAATCTATAGGCGATTAGATTATTGGGTCGGAATGTGATATATACACCCTATACTATTTATTTAACCATAGAAGTTATGGGCGGATTTTTTAAGAATATAATTTTTGGGCACTATCCATTTTTTTAATAAAATATTTTTTTAGAGGCGTGGATTTAAAAAAAATATTTTTTCAGAGGCGTGGATTTAAAAAAAATATTTTTTTAGAGGCGTGGATTTAAAAAAAAATATTTTTTAAGAGGCGTGGATTTAAAAAAAATATATTTTTTTCAGAGGCGTGGATTTTAAAAAAAAATATTTTTTTCAGAGGCCTGGATTTAAAAAAAAATATTTTTTTCAGACACGTGGATTTTAAAAAAATATTTTTTTCAGAGACGTGGTTTTTAAAAATGTATTTTTTTCAGAGGCGTGGATTTTAAAAAAATATTTTTTTCAGAGACGTGGTTTTTAAAAATGTATTTTTTTCAGAGGCGTGGATTTTAAAAAAATATTTTTTTCAGAGGCCTGTATTTTAAAAAAATATTTTTTGCAGACGCGTGGATTTTAAAAAAATATTTTTTTCAGAGACGTCGTTTTTAAAAATGTATTTTTTTCAGAGGCGTGGATTTTAAAAAAATTATTTTTTCAGAGGCGTGGATTTTTAAAAAATATTTTTTTTGCAGAGACCATCCAAGGCGTGGATTTCAAAAAAATATTTTTTTTGCAGAGACTATCAAAGGCGTGGATTTCAAAAAAAAATATTTTTTTCAGAGGCGTGGATTTTTAAAAAATATTTTTTCAGAGCCGTTGTTTTTAAAAATGTATTTTTTCAGAGGCGTGGATTTTAAAAAAAAATATTTTTTTGCAGGGACTATCCAAGGCGTGGATTTAAAAAAAAATATTTTTTTCAGAGGCGTGGATTTTGAAAAAAATATTTTTTTTGCAGAGACTATCCAAGGCATGGATTTTAAAAAAATATTTTTTTCAGAGGCGTGGATTTTTAAAAAATATTTTTTTAGAGGCGTGGATTTTAAAAAAAATATTTTTTTCAGAGGCGTGGATTTTAAAAAAAATATTTTTTTCAGAGGCGTAGATTTTAAAAAATATTTTTTTCAGAGGCGTGGATTTTAAAAAAATATTTTTTTCAGAGGCGTGGATTTTAAAAAAATATTTCTTTCAGAAGCGTGGATTTAAAAAAATATATTTTTTTCAGAGGCGTGGATTTTTTAAAAATATTTTTTTCAGAGGCGTGGATTTTTAAAAAATATTTTTTCAGAGGTTTGGATTTTTAAAAAATATTTTTTTCAGAGGCGTGGATTTTTAAAAAATATTTTTTTCCTTAATAGGCGTGGATTTTAAAAAAATATTTTTGCAAGGCTCCTTAATAGGCGTGGATTTTAAAAAAATATTTTTTTCAGAGGCGTGGATTTTTAAAAAATATTTTTTTCAGAGACGTGGATTTTTAAAAAATATTATTTTCAGAGACGTGGATTTTTAAAAAAATACCTTTTTCAGAGGCGTGGATTTTTAAATTTTTTTTTTTTTGCAGAGACTATCCAAGGCGTGGATTTAAAAAAAAAAATATTTTTTCAGAGGCGTGGATTTAAAAAAAAAAATATTTTTTCAGAGGCGTGGATTTTTAAAAAATATTTTTTCAGAGGCGTGGATTTTTAAAAAATATTTTTTCAGAGGCGTGGATTTTTAAAAAATATTTTTTCAGAGGCGTGGATTTTTAAAAAATATTTTTTCAGAGGCGTGGATTTTTTAAAAATATTTTTTTCAGAGGCGTGGATTTTTAAAAAATATTTTTTGCAGAGGTGTGGATTTTTAAAAAATATTTTTTTCAGAATTTTTAAAAAATATTTTTTTCGAGGCGTGGTTTTTTAAAAAATAATTTTTTCGTGGCGTGGATTTTTAAAAAATATTTTTTCGAGGCTTTTCAGAGGCGTGGATTTTTAAAACATATTTTTTCAAGGCTTTTCAGAGGCGTGGATTTTTAAAGAATATTTTTTCAGAGGCGTGGATTTTAAAAAAATATTTCTTTCAGAAGCGTGGATTTAAAAAAAAATATTTTTTTCAGAGGCGTGGATTTTTTAAAAATATTTTTTTCAGAGGCGTGGATTTTTAAAAAATATTTTTTCAGAGGTTTGGATTTTTAAAAAATATTTTTTTCAGAGGCGTGGATTTTTAAAAAATATTTTTTTCAGAGTCGTGGATTTTAAAAAAATATTTTTTCAGAGTCGTGGATTTTAAAAAAATATTTTTTTCAGAGGCGTGGATTTTTAAAAAAATATTTTTTTCAGAGACGTGGATTTTTAAAAAATATTATTTTCAGAGACGTGGATTTTTAAAAAAATACCTTTTTCAGAGGCGTGGATTTTTAAATTTTTTTTTTTTGCAGAGACTATCCAAGGCGTGGATTTAAAAAAAAATATTTTTTCAGAG